ATAAAAATTTAAAGAAACTCATTGTGTAGTTTTCTTAATTCCCAAATGCCCTCCAAATGAACTAGAATGGGCTATTTCTATATTTCTGAGGAACTACCAACTGTTTTTGAATTCCCTTCTGAGTATTATATTTCTATTTGAGGACCTCTCTTTATAAGCGATCTTGAATGATTTTAAATCTGTGAGAGTGATTCACACTCAGCTCTGCATTAACTGCTTCCTCAGCTAGAGTGAACAAAGTTTTTAAACTTTGATCTCTCTTTTGATCTTGACCAAATTCAGCTTGGTTTTCAATTTTAATTTCCTCTCAACTCTCCTCTTCTGTTATCTCAGTTATACCATTCTCATCACTAGGGACCACTTCTTGTTCAGTTTGTTCTTCAGATATTTGATTGACTTGTTTGGAATTTTTTTCCTGTTTCTGTTGTCTGGTGATCACTAAAGCAAACCTAAGATATCTGTCCAAATCATTTCCAATTAAACATGGAACAGGAATGTTATCCCAGAGGGCAAAATTCCACTGCCATTTGTGTCCTCTGAAGGAAATGTCTAGCTCTGCTACTGACGTTGTAAATGGAGGACCCCCTTAACCTTTTAAAGTCTTCTCCAAGCTAAACACTTCCAGCTCCCTAAATTGCTGCTCATAGGTCATGGTTTCCAGACCCTTCACCATTTTGGTTGTGCTTCTCTGGACATGCTCTGGACATGCTCCAGCTTGCGAATATCCTTTTTGAATTGTGGTGCCCAGAACTGGATGCAGTATTCCAAGTGACACCTGGTTGAAGCAGAATAGAGTGGTACTATTACTTTCTTTGATCTAGTCACTATACTTCTATTGATGCAGCCTAGAATTGCATTGACTTTTTTAGCTAATGCATCATCCTGTTGACTCATACTCAACTTGGGGTTTACTAGGACTCTAGATCTCTTTCACATGTAGTCCTGTCAAGCCAGATGTCCCCCATCTTATATCTGTGCATTTCAGTTTTTACTCCCTGAGTGTAGTACTTTATATTTCTCTGTGTTGACATTCATTTTGTTAGTTTTGGTCCAGATTTCTAATCTATTAAAGTCAATTTTAAATTTTGATCCTCTTTTCAGGGATATTAGCTACTTCTCCTAATTTGGTGTCATCTGCAAATTTAATAAGCATGCCCTCTAGTCCTTCATCCAGGTCATTGGTAAAGATGTTGACTAGCACTGGGCTGATGACAGAACCCTATCATAAATTAAAGTAGCTAATTAATAGAGTAAAATCTTAACAGAATAGTTTTTCTTTTAATAGGAAATAGACTGCAGTAATTTAGTAATATTTTTTGTAGAGTTCTTGAAATATCTGGTCTATTCAAGGAGATGATTTTACCCCAATGAACAATTTCTGTTTGACAAATTGTTGTAGAACAATAAGAAGAAAATCATTGAATTCTTGAAAAAAATATTTTATTCTACACAGAAAAACAGAAAGAAGTCTGGAAATTTAGAAACAAAACAAAACCTTTACTCATGGTTAGAATAATTTGCCCTTCTATTTAAATAAAAGAGAGCAAGCAAGTAACAGACTAGCATCAAGGATTATTACATGGTACAAATATCAGGTCATATCATTTATACATATTCTATTTATTACATTCTTATATCTTCCTAGATACACAGTCTGCTAATATATCTTTTCAAATTCCAGATGGTGTTTTGGAGGATGACATAAAGGATATTCTGTATTTATAAATAAAATAAAAGAAAACCCAATGTCTTTGAAATTATTTATATGCCTTTCTCCTTTCACATATTTTAATTTACTTGTCAGTTTTTTTCTGATAGGATTGTTTTCTAAATTTTATTTGTATATGTGTAATTTTTCTGTAGATAACTGGAATTTTCTACCAAACAGTACCATTTAAGTTGTTAAAATAACTAGATAAATTTTGGCCTCATACAGCTTAATCCTGGGCTTCCAAACTCATAGTTTTAGAGGCTATGATTTCAATATCTTTTGTCTAGTTGGACCAAGAGCACATTTTCATCCATAGGTGTTCATAATCTATAATCTTGTGTGGAACCCAAGACTATGGTACAATAATAAGTTGTGGTATAATCATTAGTAACAGTGTGAACATTAATAGATATACAGCAGGTATATCTGTGGCTTTAATTTTTTAAAAAGTTATAATTATTTATAGATTTTTGTGTTTTTTGGGGGCTATGTGGCCATGTTCTGGAAGACTTTATTCCTGATGTTTGGTCAGCATCTGTGGCTGGCATCTTCAGAGAATGCTGGCATGGAAGTGAGTGGAGAAAGTGGAAGAAGAGGAGGAGGAGGAGAAATATATTATTAGGATGGATTTAATTAGGGGAATTTATAATTAGCTCAAATATGCAATAGTGGAGTCCTAACAAATCCCCACAGGACCGTGTACCATTATGTATACCAGAGGACTAAGGAATCCCGCAATGGATGACACTGAGGCAGGCTTCTCCAATTAAAGTCTAAATATTTATTAAAGGGGAAAAACTGCACACACACAAATATATCACACACACACTGCACACTTAGGAATAAAGGAGTGAAAGTGGAGATAGTTTGAGATGGGCCAAACTGAGGGAGCTACTCATTTCTGAAGGCTTCTCTGGGATCTGCTGTGGATGCTGATGATAATGATGATGCACGGCTGCCAAAAATGGGCAGGGGGGGAGATAGCTGAGGGAGCTATGGTCAGAGTACAGACTGATGTGGAATCAGCATGCACTCTCAAGATAGCACATGGAGCCTAGAAATCCATGGGTTCTTATAGGAAATTTCTGCCTTCTGGCTATTGACTAAACGGCTTGGCTGAAGCAGAGGCAAAGGCATTGATAGTCTTAGTTTTGTTAACCCTAAGTGTGAGAGCAATCTAAACAATGCATTTGGTTTCAAGACTATCAGGGAAGGGAGGCTAGGGAAAAGGGTGCAATCAAATCTGATCACTGCCCCTTTAAGTGTGAAACTCAAGACAAATAAGCACTATTAGGTGTCTTTTCCAGCATCATGGTTTTTCCCTTTTGGCAACTCCAAAACCTGTCTGGTAGGGAATTTTCCAGCTGTTCTGGGCACATCTCTCAGTGCCTACATGACTTGCCATCTAGGGGATTATGGCTGACATCCCACAGAGGTCAGTCTGGGATCATAGAGGAAACTCCACATGTATCCAAAATTGTATGAAAAATCACATATGCTAACTCTCTCTCTCTCTCT